AAAATGATTCATGTTTTCACATATGGTAATGTGTTTATATATATATATATATATATATATATATATATATATATATATATATATATATATATATATATATATATATATATATATATATATATATATATATATATATATATATATATATATATATATATATATATATATATATATATATATATATATATATATATATATATATATATATATTATCAATGAAAGGCATCCAAGAAAACTGCTAAATATATGCAGGCCTTGAAGAAAGACTATGCATCGAATATCCCAGTTGAAGAGTAACATTCCTCTCGTCCAAAATTGAGTCTTTGACATAATTTTCTTGTTTTCCAAGAGGGTTTCATTTACCATTGCTTCTTCTCTTTCCTGACGATGGAGGCTTGAAGCTTTCGAAAGCTCAAATTCCAAGTCTTCAAGAAAATTATGTCAAAGAATCAATTCTGGACGAGAGGAATGTTACTCTTCAACTGGGATATTCGATGCATAGTCTTTCTTCAAGGCCTGCATATATTTAGCAGTTTTCTCCGATGCCTTTCATTGATACTAAATATCAGGAGATTTCCTTCCTTACATTCATATATATATATATATATATATATATATATATATATATATATATATATATATATATATATATATATGTATATATATATATATATATATATATATATATATATATATATATATATATATATATATATATATATATATATATATATATATATATATATATATATATATATATATATATATATATATATATATAAATATATATATATATATATATATATATATATATATATATATATATATATATATATATATATATATATATATATATATATATATATATATATATATATATATATATATATATATATACACACACACACAGTATATGTATATCATTACTGAATATATATATATATATATATATATATATATATATATATATATATATATATATATATATATATATATATATATATATATATATATATATATATATATATATATAATCAAATAAACACATTAACATACATGAAAACATTAATCATATTTTGCCCCAATTGGAACTTGAACCTATATATATATATATATATACACACACACACAGTATATGTATATCATTACTGAATATATATATATATATATATATATATATATATATATATATATATATATATATATATATATATATATATATATATATATATATATATATATATATAATCAAATAAACACATTAACATACATGAAAACATTAATCATATTTTGCCCCAATTGGAACTTGAACCTAAGACACAATAACAGTACCATGGCGCTACCAACTACACCATAGAAGGTCCAAGAGAGAAACCATCCTGACAGCTTAAATACCATACTAGGAATGAACGCGTTCTTTCTTAATGCCTTTTTGTTCACATTACAGCTTCTACCAACCTGATTCGTGACTTCGTTTTTGCATTTAATTAAAATCCCAATCTAAACAGGCATCAACAATAATCTAATAAACACATTAACATATGTGAACCCATGAATCAAATTTAACCCAACCGGGACTCGAACCTAACTCACATAAGTACTGTGCCAAGGCGTTACCAACTGAACCACAGAAGGTCCAAAAGAGAACCAACCTTACAGTTTAACTGCATACTAGAAATGAAAGTATTCTTTCTGAATGCATTTTTTTTTCATATTACAGCTTCTCCAAACTACACTCGTGGCTCTGTTTTCGCATTCAAATCAACTCCTAATCTAAATAGGTATCAACAATATTCAAATAAACACGTTTTTCTAAGCCCTGAAAAGAGAATACGGAAGGTTGGGCCTCCAACCAGGCCTCTGTAGCAAAGATCACTTCCGAATCGGAGTGAAATTGTGTTCTCTTGAGAGGTTTCTTCAGTTATGGAAAGAGGTGATAGTCGTAGGGGCCCAAGTCTAAAGAGTAAGCGAGTGGTTTATCAATTCGGAGCCAAAGTCGTGTATTTTCCGTCACGTTTCATGTGCTGTATGTGCTGGTGCACTATCCTGCAAAAACAGGACACCACCGCTCAGCTTTCCTTGGCGTTTCTGCTTAAAATCTTAATACAATTCGTCCAATAGAGATAAGTAGTATTCTGTGTTAATGGTGAGATCCTTTGGCATGTATTTTATGAGGAGTCTATCTTTGTCCCAGAACACTGAAGCCAGAATCTTTCCAACTTACTTCTGGGTCCGGAAATTCTTGGAACATGGTGAACTGCTGTGCCGCCACTCCATTGACTGCTGCTTCGTTAGGGATATATAGTGATGAAGCCAAATTTTATCCAGTTTATGTATATAAGCCATAAAATCAGCCTTCCCCACTGCAAAATCATCTTTCATGTCGTCACTCTGATGTGCTTCTGATCTGCGTTCAGCCCCTTTGGCACCCATTTTGAGGAAAGCTTTCTCATGTCCAGAATGTTGTGGATGATGTGGCCAACTCATTCACTGGAAATCCCCAAAGTCTTTGCTATACCTCTAGCTGAAATCTGGTTGTCCTTGAAAATCATGATGTCCACAGCGTAGGCTTTGTCCTATGTGGTTGCGGAAGTTGACCATCCTGACCAGGGTTTATCTGTGACCTCGAAATGACCAGTCCCAAACCTTGGGACCCTGATTTTCACTGTGGAGCATGATGAACAGCTATCCTTCAAGACTTCCTTCATCTCCCCATGGATTTCCGCCACTCATTGACATTGCAAGAATAGGAACTAAAATCCACTGTAGGAGCTGCCTTCATGCGTTAAACCTACAAAACAGAGAATATATATTGTATGCCACCATGCTTTTTTGCATCTCCCCTAAGTAGTTGTCCTACGTCCCCTGTAAAGAAAACAGCTCTACCCTTTCATGATGCCCTTAAAGCCAGAAACTTTTCAGCACCCCTTCATATATATATATATATATATATATATATATATATATATATATATATATATATATATATATATATATATATATATATATATATATATATATATATATATATATGAGTAAGCACAAACTGTTAGCATACAGCACTAAATGGCAAGAAAGCCCATCAGCAGAACAACACATAGAAAAAATAACGCTATATTTCGGGTCCTAACTGGACCCCTTTTCAAGCACAATTGAGTACTTGAGAAAGGGTCCAGTTAGGATCCGAAATATAGCGTTAAATTTTCTGCATTGTTTCACTGATGGGTTTCCTTACTGCATATATATATATATATATATATATATATATATATATATATATATATATATATATATATATATATATAATATATATATATATATATATATATATATATATATATATATATATATATATATATATATATATATATATATATATATATATATATATATATATATATTATATATATATATATATATATATATATATATATATATATATATATATATATATATATATATATATATATATATATATATATATATATATATATATATATATATATATATATATATATATATATATATATATATATATATATATATATATATATATATATATATATATATATATATATATATATATATATATATATATATATATATATATATGATTCTATTTCACGGGAAGCACGAGAATATTCTGAATACGTAAATGGCTACAGAAGGAAGTTGAAAGAAGTTATTGAATTTTTTCAAGTATATCACTTATCTTCAGAGAAATCTGAGTTGTGCAAATGAATGAGGTGATATATACATACAGACACCAAGAGAAAAAAAGGAATTAGCAACCCATCAACGGAAGATGAGTATAAAAGCAGTGCCGACATACATTATATTAGTTTACTGGGGTGCAAATACCAAGTAAATAAGATACAGTCAATGGTCAGGGGAATGGTGTCACAATACGTTTGCTGAGAATAATGTTTATGATGAAAAAGACATGCTAATAATAATAATAATAATAATAATAATAATAATAATAATAATAATAATAATAATAATCATATTACTAATAGCAATAATGAAAATAATACTAACAATAATTTATAGAATCAATATGATAAATTTCACTGTTTTCAATTACAATAAGGCTATCAAAAGAAGATAAAGAAATAATCAAAGTCGCATACACTACCAACCCGTCAACGGCGGTCACAAGAATAATAATTGTAATAGTAATGATAATAATACTACTCCTAATAATAACAATAATGGGAATAATAATAATAATAATAATAATAATAATAATAATAATAATAATAATAATAATAATAATAATAATAATAATAATAATAATAATAATAATAATAATAATAATAATACTTGTTATATCACTTCAGATATCTAAATTAGTAACCGTTTGCCATATATTCTTAAGGATGTGTTTGAGGAGAAATTCTATTCATATTTTATATACCAGACGTAACGTTTAACTTTTAACCATTTTCGGAAAAATACTTAGTTTAATTTTTATCCTAAGACTCGATTCTATATGAGCATGACAACGTCTGTAATAACTATGTTTCATCTTCATCTCCTTCAAATGTAATACCAATAATAATGAATGAGTTAAGCTCATTCATTTGGTTAATGCCATAAGGAGGGAAAGAACGAAAGCATCCTTTGTGCTCTCCGTGTGTAAAAGGCAAGTTGGAGCGACAGAGGATCAGGTGGATGGCAATTCCTCTTCCCTGAGGCATTCTGTTTTTCATAACTGCGCCCTTACCTCATTAGCTACAACTGTGGCCACAGTGTTACTTTTTGTGAGGAATGGTGGTATGGATAATACTAGTCAAGTTATACTGAAACTGATAGTTGATATTAAAGAAGAATATTATACCTTTTTGCAGTTGTGAACAATACTTTTCTCCTTCTTCGTCTACATCTACTCCCACTTTCATGTGGGGTCGATGTTTCTGGCCAGTGTTCTCCATATGTTCCTGTCCCATACCTCACCACCCAACAAACCTTTAGATTTCAGGTCGTCACTGATGCAA